AGCGCAGGGAGAGAGAACAGAAGTTAGGAAACACCGTTTTAATACAGCAGTTGAAGTTCCTCTGCTTTCTTCAAGAGCCCCATATTCTCATAACTGTAGTCTTCACTGGATGGACTGATTCTAGGACAAATTCTCCTCACACAACTCTCCAATAATCACAAAACACCACGTGCCTTGCAGCCTGCGGCCCCTCCTAGACCCAGCGAACACACCAAGCCTCACAGAAACCATTCTGCTGCTGCAGCAAAACAAGCCAGGGTCAGAGCTACCGCACACACAAGCAGGCTCCATAACACAGCTCAGAGATGTCCCAGAATGGAAGTGAACAACCCTGTCCTACCTGAGTGCGGGGAATTTAAAGCTCTCCTCTTGCTAAACCTGGCCTAACTTCCATGCTGGTTCTCGTGCTTAAAAACAGGCTTAAGACCTTTGGCAACAGAAATGGCATTTTTTCCCTCACCTGGCAGCAACATCAGTGGCAATGAGAATCTTAAAGATGCTGGACTTGAACTTCGCTAAAGCTGCAAATCGTTGCCGCTGGAAAGAGAAAAGTCGGCACTGAGGGACGTCGTGGTCCAGAGCCGTAGGACTTGGACAGACGCCTGGCTCAGGGATGCAGCTGGGAGCATCCATCTCCCAGCTCTGCCCGTCACTCACCTGTTTCATCATGGAATGCAGAGCTACAGAAGGGAAGCTGTATTTCCTGAGCATCATGTTCAAGACCTGGCAGTCCCTTGAAGGACAAAAATAATAAAAACCAGAATATAACAGGAAAATGTAAAGTCAACGGATCAGGGCAGAGCCGAGGTTCCACCCCTCACCCACTCACCCCTGAGACTGCTCGAAGGAAAAGGTGTTTATCAAATTTCAGAATAGACCAAGCAAGCAAATCCCATCCCAGCCTAACACCCAATCAAGTGGGAATTTGGAATCTCAACTAGAAATGTACAGTCACACACACAGAGGGTGTGCAGGAGGAACAGTGCCACTCACTTGCAGGTTTTGGTAAAGATAATAATGGACCAGTCCTCATGCTCGTCCTGGAAGGTCTGGATTAAGTGGACAAGGTATGCATCCTTGACTGCCTCGGGGACAAGCAAGTAGCGTTGGTCCAACTCATCCACTGTCCGCACCCTGTCCAGAGGGGAAGGCAAAGTGCCAAGAAGCACCAGTGAAGATGGGACACAAGGGAGATGAAAAACAGTAAGGAGACAAGGTAACGGAGAGGAAAGGGGATTCTTCGTGTTCAGCAGAGCTGATGAAGGCTTACTCAGACACAGCCTCCCAGAAGAACGGTCTGTTGGCAGCCAGGCTCTTCAGCTCGTTCAGCGTATCGGTGAGCGTGGCGCTGAACAGCAACGTTTGTCTGCGTGCTGGAACGGCATCCAAAATCACCTCCAGGTCTGCGGTGAAGTCAGCACAGCCCTGCTCCAGCAACCGGTCAGCTTCATCCAAAACCTCGGCACAGCCGAAAACACTGAGCTCAGCTACAAGTCTTTAAAGCGTAGAAAAAAACCAAAAACCCAAACCCAGAAAACCGCCTTACCAAGAATTTTAGCTTTTTAAGGCTGAAAGTGTTGGAACTGCGGAGGTGATCCGCCAGCCTGCCAGGAGTAGCAATGACAACGTGGGGTTTACGGGAGAGCTCCAGTGCCTGCGCCACCATATCTGCAACGGGAACCACAGACCTGTATCACGGACCCTAAAACCGTTTGGTCTGTAAGGCTGGAAAACGTCACTCTCCTTATTTCCGCCTTGGTGCTGCATAACAGCTCCTCAGCGTGAAAAAAACAACACATGTGGAAACAGAGCTCTTCCAGGTGCTCTGCTCCTTCCCAACCCGCTGGTACCGGGGCCGAAGGGTGGAGGCTCCGACCCCCGCAGCCGCACTCACCCAGGCCACCCACCACCACGCAGTCCTTCAGGCCGAGGGGCTTCCCCAGGACACGGAACTGCTCAGCGATCTGGTACGCCAACTCCCTGCCGGGGAAAAGAGAGGTGTAGCGGGACCATCTG